GAGGTCTTTGCAACCCGAAGCGGGAACGAGTATCACTACAAGTACCCAGACGCTTCCGAGCAATTGGGCACCAAAACCCCTCCTTCCAAAACGTTGGCAGAATTAGGAATCTCAGCAATTCCCCCAACACCCGCATCTGCGGAGAAAGTCCAGCAAAAGGAGAAGGGGAAAGAGCCTCCGCAGCAAGAAGCCCAGAACCCGAGGCAGTCTCGATTCAATCATCCGATTGGGAGAGACAAACCGGGAAATACGAGCTCACCGCCTCATTTCGACATCATGGCGCAGTTGGCCAACATCCCAGCTCGCATAACTCTATACGAGCTGTTGCGCCTTTCAAAGGACACAAGGAAAGCGCTGCAAGAAGCCTTAAGTGACTCTGAAGCTTTTCTGACTCGGATCAAGCCATCTCCAGAAGGACCAGAGCCGTCAGTTCAACAATGCAACCTGGCGGCGCAACACTTTCCCTGCATCTCCTTCACTAAAGAAGATATGCAGACGAAGAATTCAAAGCATGACTTGGGGTTGGTTGTGATGTTGCTCGCTAGCTCTTTGACGCTCGTTGTCCCTCCCCCTTTCAGGTCACGAACCAGGAGCCCGGAGAGTCGCAGGTTGATGGCGACACACTTTAGTGTTCAACTATCTATTCTAGCTATGTTTCATTTTGGAGCTCCACTATAGACTTTGTTTAGACGGTTAAGGACTTTATTTCTAGATGTTGTAAAGGCTGTGTGCCTTATTTCCTTTACTCAGACTTGTTGTATTTGGGATGTATTAAGAACTCCAGTTTGTTCATTTCAGACATTGACTTTATATTCCTGTATGTTGGATGATGAAATACTATTTTTATCTCTATCATTTTCATCAGTTATCTCTTGTAGTATTTTTCACTTGCTTTGTGCCTACATCTGTTATTGACTCACTAGAGTGATAGAATTGTGATGGTGAAACATGTTATTGCACGGTGTGGTGCATGGCAGGTTTGACATTCTTGGTTTCACCTCGGACTGCAGCCTTGTGTGAACCCAGGGGCGTCACAGTTGGTATCAGAGCTCTAGTTCCAGTATCCTTAGGATCATCCTGTGTCGAGTCGTGGAGCTAGGATAGAGTTTCCTAGGATTCATGTATAGAGTCCGTAGGGATTTCCTAGTATGAGTGAGGACGACTTATGCGTATACCTCAAAATTTGAGGAATTTTTTTTTTTTATGATAACTATTTTGCAAATTTAAAGTATTTTGTGTAAATACTATATGTTGTGAAGATTGTATTGTGATACGTTATTTATAGAAGTTTATTTTTGACTCATGAACTTTTATTTTCTTATGATCAGAGGGATGGCAGGACGTGGTAGACCTCGTACCAGGAGAGCTACCCAGGCGGAGTCACAGCAGACTCCATCAGAGCAGCAGCCAGCTCAGTCCGAGCCTCAGTATTTGGTGGACATCATGGCTCCTCTCATTGCCCGGATGACGGCCATTGAGGACTTGGTGACGACTCATATAGCACCACGGACACCACCACCACCGGTAGCTCAGCAGCAGGGGATACCTGCCGTTCCTGTCAGAGAGAGACCCCCAGAGGTCACGCCTGCAGCTATTCCTCTAGCAGTCCCAGACAGAGCCACCGAGCAGGAGGCTTAGCTCCGTATGGTTGAGAGGTACCAGAAGATGAGAGCACCAGAGTTTCAGGGATCACCAAACCCTCTGGCAGCCCATAAGTGGAAGGAGGATGTGAGCAACATTCTCGACATACTCAGTGTGGACTCAGTTCAGAAGCAGAGGTTGGCATCCTACAGTCTGAAGAGTGATGCCGGGAGATGGTACCGACTTTAGTTCCCTCCAGAGCAGAGGACGACCCTCACATGGGAGGACTTCATATATTTCTTTGATGGGCAGTACATTTCCTCTGCAGCACGGACAGGGAAGGAGCTCGAGTTATCCCGTCTGACCCAGGGGGACATGTCAGTTGCTGATTTTGAGAGCCGGTTCATGGAGCTGTTACATTTCACAGGCATGTGGCAGACAGGAGAGCGTCAGGCTCAGATGTTCTTGGCTGGGCTTCGCCCTAATCTCCGACGGTACCTCGTGTCGAGGAGATTTTATTCAGTCAGGGAGGTAGCTGAGGCTGCCACTTCTCAGGAGATTGAGACTTCTATGTTCCAGAAAGACAAGGAAGGGAAGGCCAAGACCGGACAGAGTGGGGACAAGGGCAAGAACAAGAGATCTTTCTCTGGACCTCAGCAGCAATATCAGGGCCCTTATAAGAAGGGACCCCAGCAGGATCAGAGGGCATTTCAGCAGCGCAAGTTCCAGGGATCTTGTTATAACTATCGCAAGGTCGGACATAAGGCATCGGAGTGCCGTAGCGCACCAACAGGAGCCCAGCAGGGTAAGGGTCCGAACCAGCAGCAGCAGCGACAGCAGGGC